CAAGCCTCCAAATACAGAGTTAAATACAACTCTGGTATTTTGTTATAGTAACAGATAATGAATTATAACCAACAAAAACCAAAAATGCTCCCCTGTCTGCCAAAGAGGCTGAGGCTCTCTAACACCTGAGGTCTATGGCCAAGCTGAGTAAGACCGAGAAAGGGCTTCACTGCACAAAGAATGAAGTCAAAGCAAGAGATAGATCTTCATAAGACTGTGGAAGCCAAAAGATGCAGCTAAAACCATGTGTGTTTTGTCTACATGGAAGGTGATTAAAGTCATATTTGGCACATGTGTGCAACGTGTAACTGAGCAATGCTGATCTAATCCATCCAGGCCAGGGTCCTGCACGTGTACAGGGTTATCAATCTGCACAAGAAGACCCACTCCTGATAAAGCTCCGTGACCGCATTCTCCAAAGTGATGGAATCCTAAATAGAAACACATGTCCTGTTTCAGCAAAGATCACCCCACCACAGTGAAGGACAGCCCGTTATCCCTAGGGATGTGACATGTTGTGCAAAGACATGCAGACAAGGAGCGCTGTGCATCACAGGAGAGCAGACCCAGCCTATCACCTTTTTAAAAAAAAGTTACTTCTGAGCTAGATGCAGTAGCAAACACCTGTAATCCCAGATACTCAGGAGGCTGAGGCAAAAGGATCACAAGTTTAAGACCAGCCTGGGTTACTTAGCAAGACTGTTTCAAAATAAAAATGCCTGAGGATGTAGCTCAGTGGTTGAGTACTTGCCTCAAAGCCCCAAATCCAACCCTCATTACCAAAAAAAATTAAAAATGAAATATTTTTTAGCACCCAGCCACATCCATTTGTTAATGTATCGTCTATAACTATTTTTGTGGTACAATAGGAGAAATAAATAGATACAGCAATGATTATATGGCCCACCAACCTGGAAATGTTTACTTTCTTTTCACTTTTGCACAAATCCTAAAGTATAATTTCTGGGTCTAAACTGGGCGTGGTGGTGCACGGCTATAATCCAAGCAGTCAGGAGGCTGAGGCAGGAGGATTGTTTGAGTTTAAGGCCACACTGGGCTACAAAGTGAGCTCAAGGCCATCCTGAACTGCATAGGGAGACTCTGTCTCAAAAAAGACAAAAAAAATTCTGGCTCTAATATTGTAACTCCATTCAACAGTGGTGGTAGAGCCTGTCCTTTGTAGCTTAGGGTGATTTTCCTAAATTCCTTATTTACAGTCTCACAAAGCTGGGCTTGATCTCTTGATTTTGTGAAGTCCCTAGGATCCTTCCCAAGACAGTACTTCCTTCTAATCTTCATAAAACAGAATCTAAGCCTCCAACTGTATGCTGGACACCACACACGGTACTAAACCTCACTCCCTAAACATCTCCTTATACTTTACTTACCCTTCTTCCTATTGACATTGGGTGCCTGAAACTAGAGGAAGAAAAACCAGACCTCATGGGTCCATTTTAAGGATCTAATAATCTTATATACCTATTAAAATAAAGGCCTCCCAAGCCAGGCACGGTGGCACATGCCTTTAATCCCCCTACCTGTGAGCTAAGGCAGGACAATCACCACAAATTTGAGGCCAGCCTGGGCGACACAGAAGGTTCAAGGTCAGACTGAACTACATAGCAAGATCAGGTCTCAAAAATCAAACAAAAGATAAAGGATTCCCACTGCATCTGAGAAACTTTATGGCCTTTAAATTTCAAATACTACAGAGCTGTGCTGTGATGATAACGTTCTGCCTGTACCTGCCTAAAAGGGAACCACCAGAGCACATGGTGGCTGCAACTCAGGGATGTAGCTAAGATGACTGATAAACTGAGTCTCAAATTTTATGAAACCCCAACCAGTTTAAATTTATCCAGCCACAGACACTTTCAGTAGGCCTCACAAGGGATGGTGGGATGGCCCTGGAGAAGCCCTGCTGTGCAGGCACAGTCTTGGGGTTTACCTTGGGACACTCCTCTCACAGCAGTTCTCTTTAGAAGTCATGGACAGACAGATGTCCCCAGGTGTCCTGGGCCAGCAATGAGGATGCTCCACACTCCCTCTCCCCTTTCTTCCTTGGTTGGGAGAATGACAGAGAAGGAACAGAGCTCAGGGTGCACAGTTATGCCCCCAACCCAAGCATCCAGTCTTCCCCACCTCCTCACCATGACACAAGTGCCAGGGTTCAAGGTGTCAGTAGATGCTCTTCTACAATAGACTGGAGTTAAAGGAGTGAGGATGGAAATAGCACCAGGCCAGATTAATCCTTTTTTGTGAGCCTCCAGCAGGACAGCCAACCTAACTTTATGCAACATTTATTTCAATAAGCAACATAGTAGGCTGTAAGCCACCTTTCAGACAACAGCTGATG